AGGAGATTTTCGAGAGATCGGAGGAGGAAATTGTTTCTGTCGTCCGCAGACAACTTTGTCCATCACTGAAAGCGTTGCTAGAGCACGGAATGCTGAAGGAAACACCTACCATTCGTTCTCTACCAGCATCATTTGGATTTGGCTGTTTTGTAGCGAAAAATGGAGCTGGACGTAAGTTCTCTCTCATTCTAGTGTATACTGCATGTAGGCTTTATATTTTTTTTCTACAGACCTCAACAAGGCCATACCTCTTCAACATATTTGGGATGTTGTTCTGTTCTTTTACGGTTCGAAAAGTGGACGCGAATTAGAAGATGCACCGGTTAGGAAGTTGAGTCAGTCCTTCAAGTTGGAAAACGTGGCTGGTAAAAGCATAACTTCGAAACAGGTAAACTTTTCACTTCTCATTTTCATACATCGCTATTTAGCTTTTTGGCTAGTAATCTTTGAACAATGAGGACGCTAGCCTTTTACCATTGTACAAGGTGTCTAGAAACTTTCTAGCCTAAAGCACTTCTATATAAACTCTAAAGTTCTTTTTGCGTTATTGTGCTCGTCAGACTAAGAAAACATCAACCCAGCAACAAATTCCTCTATGGTTTCATTTTATTGGGTAGAAGCATGATTAGTTTTACTCGCCTTTCTTGAATGCTTGTTACAGAAGGGAGAACATCTCTCAAAGAAATTTCGCACACCATCTGAAAGCCTTCTTCTTTTTGTTCTCGTAGGAGTGAGTGCTTTTTGGATTATTTATCATGCCTCGAAAACAAGAGATCCATTTCTACGATTTTTTCGCTATGTGTTCATCTCCAGAATCTCTAAGATTTTTTCTTCAAATAATCGTAGAGCAACAGTTCTTTCTTTGTTGATTCAGTGGTCTCTAGGTAATATAGCAAAAAGCGGGTTAGAAGTCGTAATCGAAGTAGCTGAGGCTAGAAACTTTCTAAGCACCTTTTATAAGTATGTATTACTTGTATTATACTCTCTTTTCGTATCTGTTTTTGTTTCTTTTCGTATCTCTATCAGAATTTGAGCCCCTTTGGGTGTCTGCTTTACAAAGTGTTGTCGTACTTTTGAACTGCAGACAGACGTGGATTTGCTGTATTGACAAACTTACCAAATAAGAATAATCTCTTCTTCACTTCTGTGGCCCTCTGTATAAAACTTCCCGTTTTTTGCTTAACTTTTCTGTGCTTCCCTAGTCTTTTCTCCACTAATTAAGGGAACGTTCTTTTTGCAGTGATACTTTTTTAAAGTTATATACAGATTGAAACGGATGTTTGCAGATTTTGCTGACCACAATAGAGAATATCGTATCATCGCACGCACGTCTGCGTCGATCTAAAGATGCTCAATGGAAAGCTTTTGTATCTGCTGCTATGAACGAGAAGAAACTTCCCGCGTGGCTTCGGTAAGTATTGTAGAGGAATGCTCTCTCCACTATCAATACTGTATTTTTTGAGGATAATATTTCGCTCCCGCTATGTGGTAGAGATGTGCTATAACTCCTGGAGTTATGTTGCAAGAACAGGTTAGTCGATGTTTTAAATGTTTCTTTATAAGCTAGATTCTTGACCTAGGAACACAGGTACAAGAACATTACGTATAGGACAAAGTGGTTGTCATTTTTTGTATGCTAAGTTGTATTCGAAGTTTCATCTTATCGAATGCTCGAGTTTTTCAGGGTGTGAAGAACTCTACACATTATTGGAAGGTTTGCATAAGTATAATGTTGAACTACCTGTCGATCTAGCATTGAGACCTTTCCAACAAATGAAAGATGCATTTTAAATAGCTCTTGTAATTATTCTTCTATTATTCACTTCTAGATTTATAGTGTTATCAGCCCTTTTAGTTACTTTTCATGATTTCGTGTATAGCGTTGTTTTACAAATGATCTCGCAATGTGAACATTCTCTGTTCCTATATCTAGTCGTCGTTCTCAACCTTGTCTTGCCACTGTGATTGTTTTTGGCTTCTTAGCTGTATATGCTTCTAGGTGTTAATCTTGTCGAAGTATCGATTTCTTAAATCTACTTTACGTGTATCGCTCTGTATCTCAGCCTTCCGCAGATTTTGACTAACTGTTACTTACTGGGTACTTGCTCTATTGGAGTGACTGTCATTTAGCTGATGCCAAACAAAACATTCTATCAGTTTTCTGTACACATGCTTTCAATATCTGATTACCTGTTCTGGTCTCATAAATACCTTTCCTGGTCTTGGGCAAGTGTGATCAAAGCTAAGCAGATTTTACTTACCACAACCATTTTCAGATTTAGTCCATCTGATATATCCAGCGTCACGCTATGGTGATGAACAAAAGTTGAGAAAGGTAGCATTTATACTCGTGTTTTATCTTGATTAACACATTGAAAATTTTGAGCTAGTTTCTTCTGGCTAACGGTCATAACTGCTCGTTCGCTGGTACAGATTTTTGGAACGAGTATCTCCTTTCGCTCATGTTGCGTTTTT